TGGCTAATCTTGGCTGTCAACTTGACACCTAGGAGAGGACTCCTCAAGTGAAGAATTGCCTCCATCAGATTGGCCTGTTTTCACTTCTGTGGGCTATTTTCTTAATTGCTCATTTATGTTGGCGGGCCTGCCCACTGTGGGAGGTACCATCCCTAGGCAGGTGGCCTGGGCTGTGTTAGAAAGGTAGCTGAACTCAAGTGAGCCGGGAAAAAAGCCAGCAAACAGTGTTCCTCATTGGTCTGTGCATCAGTTCCTGCCTCTAGGTTCTTACTTGACCCCTGTCCTGGTTTTCCTTAGTGATGGACTATATAACCTGTGAGCTGAAATAAACCCTCCCCTCCACAGATGGAAGGGAGAGTTTTGGTCAGGGTTTTATTACAGCAACAGAAACCCAATGAGAACACACACTTTTCTATAGGCCCCAGTCTCTTACCGCCTCCAACTAGGCCTAGCACCTTAAAGTTCCCACCGACTCTCAGTCACACCACCAGCTGGGGACTGACGCTTGAAAACAGCAGTCTTTGAAGGACATCCCATGGCCAAACTGTAACGGTTCTACTATGGCAAACACTTCAAAATGGAAGTCTTTCTGGAATTGGAATGTGGAAATGGGCAGAGGCTGGAAGAGTTGGGAGACACATGACACATTGTCTTGAATACCTGTCCTCAGCGGGGATGTGGCCAGGGTGGGTGGTGGTAAGTCCTCTTCAGTCTTGCAGCCTGAGATGTCTTTAGAGAGGGCGGGCCATCTCTCAGAACAGAGAGGCTGGCCCAGGCACTGAGAGCAATGGGGAGACAGGACTGGAAGGAGAGAGAGAGCAAAGTTGGCCCCTCTGCACTATTTTTAACAATGTGAGGTCTACCCAGCTCCTGGTCCTGGATTGTCATGGAGTCACGTGGTTGGCCTAGCAGCACCGGAGAGTGAAGAAGGCCCTCACTCACGTCATGCCTGTGAACTGAACACAGCAACCCGTGACTAAGCAGAAAGCCTGACCCCTCCATGTCAGTGGATAGCTGGGCTCTTTCCAGTCACCAGGCATCCTCAGGACTGTGTGCCACCATTCTGTCCTGGAATTGAATCTGGTTGTCCCTGAGGATCTTAGTATTCTGGTTCTCCAAGCTGGAGTAGCCAACTGGTCCCTTTGGACGCTGTCCCTGGCCAGCCTGAGGCTGAGACTACTCTGGATGAGGGACTGAGGGACTGTGGAGAAGTTATCCCATCTGGACAAGGTGTGCACTGCCCCCCCAAGCTACAGTCTTAAACCAGGCATCACTTGGAAGGCTTCTGGAACCCCAGTGGGTTTAAGAGAGGCTGAGGACAGGATAGTTCAGGTACCTGAAGTGAGGAGCTTAGACGCAAAAGAGTGAACTGTAGCAAGACTTGTATGTGATTCCTGATTTCCCCTCTTCCCAAGCCGAAGTCTGCACAGGAGGCTGGAAGAGGACGAAGCTGCCACGGATGCCCGCCTGACCAGCAGAGGCACTGGGATTGCCACAGCTAGGTCTTGTGTCGTGCCTCGCGGAGCTCAGAGCTCAGATCCACCTGTTGGGACAGGGACAGCAGTTGCCAGAGCTGTCCCAGAGAACTTCCCACAACCACGGCAGCTGCCTTAATCCTGGCGTATGCCACCAAGAGTCGGCATCTTAATCTCTCAAGCCAGGCTCGAGGGACTGCCACACTCAGGGGTCTTACTTGAGTTCACATAGCACTTGCCTCCTGACTCCTAGTTCAAGGCTTCCAGCCATCATTATTTCCAACAGATGTCCTGTAGCCAACAGATGGTGCTGTATAGCTCAGTGGTTCTCAACCTGTGGGTTACAACCCCTCAGACTTTCGATCAACCACAGGAGTCTCCTGAGGCCATCAGAAAACACAGATATTTACATTATGATTCATAACAGTAGCAATATTACAGTTATGAAGTAACAATGAAAATAATTTTGTGGTTGGGGTCACTACACAGTTCCATGAGGAACTGTATTAAAGGGTCACAGAATTAGGAAGGCTGAGAACCACTGATATACCTCTTATACTAGGGACTCTAATGGACAAAGCCCTCTGGGCCAGGACCTCATGGACCAACGTGAGCCACATTAGCTCACCTGTGGCATTGGGTATATGGATACCCACATCTTGGTCCCATCTGAAGCCATGACAGTTGTGAGGAGAGTGAAGTTCCCTTAGTAGAATAAGTGACTGCTACCACTTCTGAGGGAACTGGCTGTGCACCCCTACCCAGGCTCTCTGGGTCTCCTGAGGTGCCGTCTCAGGGTTTCTATTGCTGTGATAAAACACCATAATCAAAATCAACCTGGGGAGGAAAGGGCTTATTTCAGCTTACAGTTTCACATCATCCATCCTTGAGGGAAGGGCAGGGCAGGAACTTAGTGGAGCAGGAACCTGGAGGCAGGAGCTAATGCAGAGGTCACAGACGAATGCTGCTTACTGGCTTGCTCCACATAGCTTGCTCGGTCATCATTTTTACAACACCCACAACCACCAGCCCTGGGGAGGCTCCGCCCACAGTGAGCTGGGCCCTCTCACACTGTCGATCAAGAAAACACACCACAGGCTTGCCCACAGGCCAGTCTGGTGGAGGCTTTTTCTCAATTGAAGTTCTTTCTTCCCAGATGACTTTGGCTTATGTCAAGTTGACTTAAAACTACTCAGCACAGGTATCTAAAATGACCGCTGGGTATCTTTGACCTTATAATCAGGAATGTGAAGTGGACCAGTTTTAAGTCCCAAGGGCCTCTTTTCTTCCTGATAACTGCCTACCAGTCCTGTAGGTGGTCAGTTAAGGCCAATTTTATAGTTCAGAGAGTAAGACAAACAAAAGGAGGTTGCTTTGGTCTTGCTGGGAGACTGAACCGAGCTGACTTTCTCCAGGGCCCAGCTGAGGCAGCTTGGAGCATCCCTGACAGGGCGGCCCCTTTCCCAGGGCCTGGGTCTCCCTAGGGCTTCTGCTTCTCAGAAGAGGCGGCCACTGAAGTGCCTCTGTTCTCTCAGTTCTACAGCCTTCTCCAAGGGCTGCATCTGGAAGAGCAGACAGGCCAGATGTCCCCGCTCTGGGTCCAAGCAGCAGGTGCCGTTGTTGGGGCTCGGTGTGCTTTGAGAGGTCCCTGTGCAGGTGAAGTTAAAGCTCAGCAGGGCAGGGGGCAGGACAGTTCTTTCGGGGACCCCAGTCACCACCATTTCCTCCACCCGCTAAAGGCTCCTACCCCACCTTGCTTTGCAGAAACAGTGTCACCTGCTAGAAGAGGTAGTTTAGTCCCTCTGTCCTTCCTGGAGGTCAGAGAGAAGCTGAGTTCTGTGAGTATGCAGAGCGCATTCAGGATAGTGCTGCCCGAGTCTTTTGCCCATTTGTTGACCTTGTGGTTAAGTGTCTAGTGTCCAGCTAGGCACTGGACCCCGAACAGCTGATCTGCACTATTAGTTATAAGTCTCAGGAAACCCTACAGTAACTGAGAACACCCCAGGTTAGGTTGCACAGCAAACTGGGAGAGAGGATGAGGCTGCCCTGGATGCCCATCTGACCATCAGAGACCCTGAGGTGGGTGGAGATAAATCTTGGGATGCACCCTGCAGAGCTCAGCGTTAAGGCCCACCTGTCAGAGCAGGCAGAGGGTGCTGGGGCTGTCTCCACAGGGCTTCTCAGAAATGTAGCAGCTTGGTAAGCTCCTCTCCTGAGACACGTGCAGCTCTGAGCCGGGACCTCAGTCTCCCAAACCAGCCTAGGAGCCAGGCACCAGAAATACAGCCCATACCCACGAAGAAGGGCTATAAAACACAGAACTTGAATGATGCACGCTAGGAAAAGAGCACTGGATTATCGTAATCAGCCTTCGTGCTGGTCTGTAAGGTGGAAGCTGTGAGGCTATTATTTTACAAGTAAGAAACCAGAACACAGCCTAAAGATACGGCAGGCAGTGGGGAGAGCCTGGGAAAATGCCTGGGGGCTGGAAGGCACATGAGCAGAAGTGTGTGGTGCCAAGTGAGTGCAGTGGCCTGGCTGAGCTCTAAATGCACAAGCAGGGACCAGTGGCTAGTTCATTTGTTATGTGTTTTTGTGTGAGTGTCTTGCCTGCATGTATGTCTATGGATCCAGTGCATGCCTGGTACCCATGGAAGCAAGAAGAGGGCATCAGATCCCCTAAGACTGGAGTTA